TCCATACTAGGGTGTCGCAGTCTGGATGTACGCCGATCAGCATCCCTTCCATGCCCTGCTCTAAGAAAGCTTATCGCTCACATCTTCCCTGCGTGCGTGCATGCGTGCGCGAGAACCATCGTCAACTTCACACCGGGGCTTTACCTAGTAGGACTCCCCTGCTTCACTGCCTGGGGCGAAGTCTCTCCATGGCTACCCGCTCCCCTCCCTGCCTCCCCTTTACTACCCCTAACTCGACATCCGGCATGCCGCAAACCCAACTTATCCTTCCTTCCCTCCGCTTTCCCCCCTCAAGCAGGTGTACAGCTGTTCGATGGACGGTACGGTGCGGCTGTGGGACTACCGGGCCGGGGAGGAGATCCGGACGCTCTCCGTGGGGGAGCCGGTGAAGCACATGGTGGGTCAAAACACACACGATGGGGGGGCGGTTAAAAACACACACGTTGGCGGATGGCGATGGTTGCGGGTGTCCGGAGGGCCGAGTAACGTGCTTACGTTTACAAGCACGACGCACGCAAACACCGGCACAAGTAGATATATCATGCCACATCATCCCTGCATGCCTGCCGCCACCTGCCTCCCACCCGCTTGCAACTCGCTGCGAGTAACTCCTCATGCATGTTACCCCTCTCATGCATGTTACCTTACTTACCCACTCACCCACCCACTCCTTCTTCTTTGCCCCTTCAGGTGATCCAAAAGGAGCTGGGTGTGGCCTATCTGTCGGTGCAGCTGCGTACGGGAGGTGGCCGAGTGGTGCTGTACAACATGAGGACCGGAAAGGTACGGCAAGAAGCCCACGGGGATGATGCGATGATGCGATGAGAGAAGCTAAGCGGAGGGAGGGCGTTAACCGAACCTAACCTACGATGGTGGACTCACGACCATATAGCCGTGATCGCGAGGCCGCAATACTGGGATTCTACTACACGGGAAAGGTTGCCATTGTAAATGCCATTCGAACTGTTCTGAACCCAACCCAACCTAACCCAACCCACCCTGACCTCCTCCCGCAGTTCAGCGGCAATGCGCTCAAGACCCGCTCCGCCGGCCCCCTGGCGCTGAGCGCCTCGGGCGGCCTGGCCGCCTCCATCGACCGCCACTCGCTGTTCGTGTGGCGCACGGGGGTGGACATCTACCAGCCACTCAACCTGCATCACACAAAGCCGTACACGGTAGGAGGGAGGGAGAGGAGAGGAGAGAGGTGTCGGAGAGTGGAAGGGAGTACGACCATGTAGGAGGGTAGAGGTGGGTGAGAAAGCGTGATGGGAGTGCCCAGGGCAGGGTAGGGGAGAGGCTCATTGATTGAATGTGGCGGAAGACGTGTAGGAAGCAACCACCTCGAAAGGTTACCTGCCCTTAACCCTGTCTACATCCTCGCTTCCCCCTCCACCTCCCCCTCCTCCTCTTCCCCAGTGTCTGGCCATCTCCGCTGACGATTCCCTCATCGCCGCGGGTGACGTCACGGGTCGGCTGCTCATCTGGAGGGCGGTGGAGTCGCGCGTGCCCTCGGCGCTAAGGGACAAGTCGGGGGGAGGAGGAGCAGCTGGGGCTGGGGGTGAAGGAGGCGCAGCAGCAGCAGCAGGGGGCCAGCAGCATGTGGGAGGTGGCGGCAAGGTGCGGCTGCCGGCAGCCGAGCAGCCGCCGCTGACGACCCTGCACTGGCATGCACACCCTATGGGGTGCCTGGCCTTCTCATCGGACGGTGAGGGAGGGGAGGGGAGTTGGGATGGATGGGAGATGGGAAAGAGGAGAGGGAAAGGGTGGGTTGGGGAGGTGTAGCCAGGCAGTTGAAAGGGGAGAGAACCCGGTTTGCGTTCCATTCCAGCAGGAAATTCCATCTCACTCCCCATACACATTCGCGCCCCAATTAACGCAGGTACCCACCTCTTATCCGGCGGTGCCGAGGGTGTGCTGGTCATCTGGAACCTGGAAACCCAACGACCCAACTTTCTGCCGCGACTCGGCGGACCCCTCGTCGGACTGCACCCCTCGCCGGCGGATCCAGCAAAGTACGTCGTACGACAGGCGGACAATGTCGTACGGATTATCAATATTGCGACCATGAAGGTGGAGGCCTCCGTCATGGGTCTGCGGCCGCCGCCGGTGGGGCTGCTGCCGCCGGCGGGGGTGGCTGGGGGCGCGGCGGCGCTGCTGGCGGCGCCTGGCGGCGGCGAGGGTACGGCAGTGGCGCCGGCGGTTGGTGGAGTGTACGGCAGGGGCGGCAGCGGCGGTCTGGGTGTGCTGGTGGTGGCGTGCGAGAATGCGCAGCTGCAATTTTACGATGTGGAGCGGGACCGGCATCTGCATCTGGTGCAGGTGGGAGAGGAAGGGTTTGGGGATTAGGTAAACTTAGCCGCGGGGGGTTGGGGGATGTGACTGGGTGGATAAAGAATTGCGAAGAAGAGGGGCGAGATGGAATTGGGAAGAGATCGGGAAGCTTTGGAAGATGGGTGATTTTAGGAAGGCCTCAGGAGGCAACGCAAAGGGCTTGTCATTCCCGAACACGTCCTCCTGTCACTCTGCCGCTTACACTCCTCGCTCCGTGCCCGCTCACGGCAACCCACGTGTGTGTTTTTGTGCTCGCAGGCTGCTCCGCGCAACGCCATGCCTCTCACGGCCCCACAGCAACAGAGCCTCACATCCGGGTCGGGAGGATCAGCAGCAGCAGCGGGGGGGGCAGCCGGTGCAGGGGCTCCGGAGCCGGTGGCTCCGCCGCCGCCCTTTGTCTCGCTAGTGGCCTTCAGCGGTGATGGATCCGTCATGGCTACTGTGGACGTCAGGTGGGCCCATGGGTCGGTTGGTTGGTTACCGTATGAGCCGCGGCAGGCACCGGTATGCATGCTGCTATGTACGGTATGTCGGCATGGTTTCATGCTCCCGCGCCTCGGCATTTGGCGTAGCGTAGCAGTTGTCGACGCGTATGCGGATTAGATTTGTATACGGCTTGTAACGCATTCGTATGCGCATGTCGTACAGGTCTGATGCGGGGCCATACGGATCTACGGAAGCCTGTCTCAAGTTCTGGGACGCTGCCACTTCCTCTTCCGGATCCAACGCGGACCGTACGACAACGGATCCGTCAACATCTGGATCCGGATTCGCCCTCAATACCCGCGTGGACGAGCCCCATGCGGACCAGGTCACCTCCCTCGTCTACCACCCCTCACGCCACATGGTCGTTACGACAGGCGGATCCGGATTCGGTACGACAATTGGAACAGGGCTGGCTTCCGGAACCGGGGTGGATTCGGAGTTCAAAGTTTGGATCCAAGAGCGCCGATCAGCGTCGCTGGAGGCGAAAAGCGGCGATCGGAGTGCTGGTACGACAACGCATTGGAGGTGCCAGAGTACGGGAGGATACAAAGGGCTACCGCTGGGTGCGGCGGCGTTCAGCCCAGACGGCAGCATTCTAGCAGTGGCGGCGGCGGCGCGAGTGACGTTGTGGGATGCGGAAAGCACTTCGCTAGCGGCAGTGCTGCCGGCGGCGACCGCGTTAGGGCCGGCGGCGGCGCCACCATTGACTCAACTCGTGTTCGTACCGGGAACGCCGTATTTGGCGGCGGCGTCGCCGTCGTGCGTCGCGGTGTACAACTTGCTAACGGCTGCCGTACATTGGTGCTTCCCGTACGGCGCGGTGTCGATCTGTGCGGATGCGGCGTACGGATTGCTAGCGGTAGCGCTGCCGGCGCCGTCGGCGCCGCCGCAGGCTGCTGCGGCGGCTACGGACGCTGCCGCGGATGCCTCCCGGTCTCAGAAACCGCTTCAGCAGAAGCAGATCCTCCCGAAGCACCCAAAACAGCAGCAGCAGGGGCAGGAGCAGCAGCAGCGGCCGCAGCCCAGCTGTCATGTAGTCGTGATTGACCCACGGGACGGTTCGCCCAAGTACCACTGCCACCTGCCGGACACGCACCACGTGCACTTGGCGCATGTACGGACGGCGGCGGCAACCGCCTCAACAGCAGGCGACGGTTGCAGTCCGTTGCTGATCCTGCGGGACAACCGACAGTTCTCGGTTGCCGCACTCCCAGGTTGGTTATTACGTGATGTCTGGGTCTCGAGCGCATGGGTTTTGGTTGACAAAGCTAACCACGAGTTTTAAGCGTTGGTGAACACCTGATGGAAGCTTCAAGGCGTGGTTAGGGCCAGGGTGATGCTGCTTCCCACGTAAACATGCACTTACGGAACAACAGACGGTGATACCTGCGAGCCTACACGAAGTTCCCAGCATTCCTGTGTCTCCTTGCGCTTCTCCTTCTCCTGCTGCATGACCACTGCCTGACTCACATCTGCCTTCTGCCCCCTGCCTCCTCCCTCGTGCCTCCTCAGGTTCCCTGGACGCCTCCCGCTCAGCTGCGGGCGCCGCACCCTCTCAAGTCCTGCTGGATCAGCAACCGCTGTCCGCCTTCGAAGCCGCATTCGGCCGCGAGCAACTGCCAACCACCGCAGCGGGCGCTGCACCCATGGAGGTTGACGGAGGCGCAGCAGCGGTGGGCGGGAAGCCCCTTTGGGCTGCGCTCTTCGACGCGCCCTCGCATGTGCTGCCGCCGCCGACTGCGCTTGCGAACGCCTTCCTGTCCCTCCTCACCACTTCGGACTCTTGATTGGTGTGATTGGTTGGTTGATTGAACACATGTCGCCTTGGACATGCTGCGCAGCGTTGACGTACAGCGTTGCAGCACAGTGCAGTTTGGTTTATACTTGTGTGTGGACGTTTTCGCGAACCATTTCGTTCGTAGCAGCAGGGGCTGTAAGGGTTGCTGTGCATGCGGCAGGAAAGGGGCGCTTGGGTTTGGGTAAAGAGGGAACTGTACCATGTGACGAGGTTCCTTCATGAGCTGCATGGGAAGGGGTGTGGCTAGGGGACGCAACAACGGGTAGCGAGGAAAGGGGTTAGCGGTGGCTGTGTTGGGTTGTGGTACCATGCGTGCTGAGGGCGCGCGGATGTGCATTAAACTGCTGTTGTTAGTAGTAAGTTTGTAGTGGTAGTGCGTTGGGGTGTGGGAGAGACACACCGGGGAGGTTAAGAGTCTGGCGGGCGCTTGCTGGGGGGGCTAGGTGGTTGTCGAGTAAACGAGTTGATTGGAGATGGGGCGAAGGGCAGGAGATCGGACAAGGCGTCATTTTTGTGTTTGATGTCGACTTCCGCACAAGATGACAAAGGAGGTGTCTCGGGACGCTTCCTGCGGCGGAAGGGGTACATCCCTTTCCGCCATGTGGTGCCGGTGGATGTAACAAACTCCTATCCGATATACTGCACAATAGCCACGATTTTATGCACTGGAGACACGTAGTTAGGAAAGAAGGATTTCGCCCTCCGAGACCGGGCAAGGCCTCACTACGCAGCATCTTACGCATTCGTCCGTACACTGTTTCGCGGCACGGCCAAGCAAGCATGGTGCAAAGCGATCGACGCTGGTGCATTTCCCGTATCGAAAGCACGCAACGTTAAGAGCAGAACATTACTGCGCAACTGCATCAAGGCTGGTAGATAAACCAAACCATCATTCTTGAGCTAAACGAGTAGCTGCTGCATATGGCGGTTTTGCACGTATCACAAATATATATTTCTAAGTTTTAGGTCGGCACTGCCAGTGATGTCTTTCGTCTCCGCAGGCGATACAGCGGCTGGGATGCTAGTGCGAGCGATGATTCCTTCTGCCCGACAGGCTGCTTGGGGCCGTCTATCGTTACAGCTTAGACATTGCAGCAGCAGCAGCAGCTCTGGGACCGGTGGTGATGCACCGGCCAAATCGGGCACATTCTGGTCCAACCTTCAACGCGCTCTGTTCCCTGTCGGGCCAAGCAAATCGGCAGCTCGTACAGCTTCAGAGGCGTCAGCGTCGTCGTCTACACCAGTAGCCTCAGCCTCGAGAGGTACTCCGACGACACAATTGAGACCGCCATCCGGGAATCCGGCCACCGCTGCTGCTGCGGCCGCTGCACGGGAAGCGCGGGCACAACAGCGCCGTGCAGCCCGCGGGCAAGAGGACGCGTTTGCAGCGCTCAGCAAGCCTGCTGAGCAGTTCTCAGGGACGTTGCTCAAAGCTGCAGTGCTGCTGATTACGGTGCCGCTTGGAGGTAAGGATGCACGCTTACGGATAGGGTAGGCAGGATAGGGCATCCAAGGTGCTTTTAGACATCCTCCGTCCCCCGTATCCCCGCTTCACCTCCCCTCTCATCCCCTCCTCTTCTCCGCCACGCTGCAGTCCACATGATGTCGCACAGCCTCATGATGTCGCTGTGTGTGCGGGGGCTAGAGGTACGTGGGCGGCAGCAGCGGAGGATGAGGAGGGGGGTCGCTGCCGCCTTGCGGCTGCAGGGAGGGAGAAGCAGGGAGGGCTGCCGCCGTGTTGCCCTGCATGTGGGGTTGCATAAACTGAGCCGCGGAAAGGAAGGATGAGCCGCATGTGGGAGGGATGTAGGGATTGCCGGTGCAGCGGGCAGCGCACGGCGGCATGCCTGCCTGCCTGGCTGCATGCCGCGGGGAATACACCATGGGAACGGCTTTTGCGGATTGCGTCCCTCTTAGGAAGGACTGGGGGCTTGGGTGGGCTGGTTGACGGAGCTCTCAGACTCTTTACGGTATTGCAGCATGGCAGTGCGCCTCTTTGACACCCTCGCTCTCCCTCCCGAACCCTTGATTCCTCGTCTCTCCTCTCCCCTCCCAAACCACTCACACTCCTACCGCCTCGCCATCCCACCTTCCTGCCTCTCTCTGTCTGCCCTTCTGCCAGTAGCCACCCTCCCCAAACCACACAGCCTCACCTCGTCCCCCTCCCTCCTCTCCTCCCCACACCCCCCAGTCCGACCGCCCCGAAACCGTGGTGCTCACCCTCAAGCGGGTTCGCTCGGTGGTGGCGTCCGACTACCTGGCTGACCGGTTCGAGGCGGAGGACGGAGTGGGACTGCTGCTGGCCACCTTCCATGAGGGCTCGGGGGAAGGTGGGTGGGTGGGTAAAGAGGAAACAACTAACTGACCGTGTGATAAGGCAGCATAATGGTTTGGGGGTGGGTGGGTGAGAAGGGGAGGAGATGCGGGTAAGATCTAAAAGGGTTAAGGCCCCCTTAGTGGTTCCAGGTCATCATCTTCCTTCTCAACACGCATATCCGTTGCTGCCGTGCTGCGGCTGGGAGCTCTTTTCCGCCTGGTATGGCGACCCATACCCGCACCCCTCTTCACCCTGTCTTTGCACCCACCTTGCCAGCAACCCCCCCTGCCCCGCCCCTACCTCTCCCCCTACCTCCCCCCTGCCCTTCCCCTCACCCTCTGTCGTATCCAGCCGTGCTGCGGGAGTTCCTGGCGGCCGCACAGCAGCTGCTGCGGTTCCGAAGCACCCGGGAGGCGCTGCTCATGGTGGGAGGGAGGGGGGGCAGCAGGAGGATGGGAGGCAGCAGAGAAAGGAACTGACGGGGAAGAAGAAGAGGGTCGAGGGGGGAGGGGCGCTGCCCATGGCTTACCTCTTTCCTTGAGCTCCACGGTAGCACTTTACTTGACCCTGGCTTTTCCTTCTCTCTTCACTCCCTTCTGTCGGCCACCATGGACCAACCCATGTTCGTACGGTTACTTGGAGTGGCACGGTTAGTTGGTTTCATCCTCATCCCTCCCTCCTTCCCTCCCTCCTTCCTTGCCTGCCTGCCCCAGTCCTCCCTGGTAGAGCGGTTGCAGCGGGCTGCAGCTGCGGGATGGCTGCCGGCCTCGCTGCGGGAGGAGGCGCACCAGCTGTACCTGGAGGCGCATGCAGCTAGGAGGATGGAGATGGAGGCGGCGGCGGGGGTGGCAGCGCCGTGAGAGAGTCGGCAGGGGGGACCCAACCGTTGGGAGAGGGGTGAGGGTGGTGGTGGTGCCGGTGGGTGAGATGGCAGGGGGAGGTGGCGCGGTGGGTGTGCTAAGCTTCTGAGGCGGTTATGGACTCTACAGGCTGTACGAGAAGGTGTCGAAATGTACGACAGGGGATTATGAGGGAAGGCGGAGGCAGGAGCGTGCTGTCGCGAGGCGTGCAGTGCTGCAGTGGCGTGAAGCTTCAATGGACTTGTACGGCAGTTAATCGTACGGCTCGAACCTGAACTGGCTGGGTATTGGACCTGGTCTGTGTCGCCATCAAGTGTAAGCACAAGCGGTGCCGTCCTTGCACATGCGTCAGCAGCATTGTTGGGGAAAAGGTTCAGGACATCAGGAGAACAGGACTGTTAAAGACGAAGTTGTTACGATAGCTGGGGTGGTGAAGGCCGCAGCTGGCAAGGGGACAACAAGGATGGGGAAGAGACCGCAGTGGGTCTATCCAGCACGGGCATGTGGGCATGTGGCTGCTTAGCCTCCTGAGTTCCTGATTGTTTAGCGGGGGTTGCAGCGTCCATGTCGCATCGCCGGAACAGATTCTCCTTGCGGTCGTCCAGCTGATCAAGGGGGGGGAGAGCGGCCGTAGACTAGCTTTCCCGGCTGGACTGTTGTCATCCTGCACCGGTACACAGCCAACCACGTGCCGATTGTGCTGTAGCTACTGCTGCGTAGGATGCGTAAGCCCTGCTGCTTGTAGTAGATGGGCACGGTCGTGTAGGTTGTGTTGCGCACGCCTTGTCGACTTGGATCAAGAAGATGGGCTGGAGGTTCACGCACCCATGCACACAGTTGGCCAATGGAGGTCGGCTTCACGTTAGTTATTGCACTTATCCACTAGCATGGCCGTGTCGAGGTGTCATGCGATCACCTTACCGGGCAACTAACCGCAGGTGTGCGTGTGTCGAAGCAGTGCAAGGCCGACGGAACGTTTGACCGTGAGCGTTCTGTAGCCGGTGCATTGCGCAAAGCACTGCTTATCCATTGAGATCGTTAAGTCCATGCAAGCCTACTCAGCTACCATCATGGCACGATCTGTCCACATCCAGCTTAGGTGCTGGTCAGAGGTTACTCACTCTACCAACAGAACAACTTCAATTCTATATATTGGAGGTTTCCAGTTATTGATAATATCGGCCCGTTCCTGTTAGTTAGCTCTCTAGCCTTGACAGCCATCCTTGGGACGTGAACCGCGCGAATTCGCCTCAGCCCCTACCATGCCAGACCCGTGGGTCAACCCGGTCAAACGCAGGAAATCGCTGCAGTGTACATGCTTGACCATGTTAGCGGTAGCTGCGACGACGATCACAGCAACGATGGCGGCTGCGGCTCCTGATACCGGTATAGGCGTTACGGCCGGCTCGCGTTCGCTTGCAGCTCGGCCCATGTTGGGACCAGTTGGGCAAGTGATGCAGCCCCTAGCCGCCGTGCTTCCTCCATTGAAAGGTACCTGTATAAATTTGGGTTGGCCGCTCCAGGGCTGCTGGGGCTTCGGCTGAAGCTAAAAGTACGGCAAACCTCGGCAAGCGGGATACGCGTGTGGTTCCTAAGAAGATAACACGGCGTTACTGCTAGCTAGTCACTAACCTAAGTCACTGAAAGTCCTCCCATGCGGTCATTTCAGGTGTACCGGTACGCGCATGTACACCGGTAGACGGTGTGCTTGGCGGCGGAGGCGCTGGGAGCCGCTGCCGGCGGCTGCTGGAACAGCAGGAGCCGCCGCCGCCGCCAGCAGCAGCAGCAGCAGCAACCTCGCTCAAGGACATGGCCTTACTACTCGGCAATGGCAGCCCTGCCAACACCACCTTAGCCGCCTTCCCCGCAATCAATAACGCCACATGCCAAGTTCTGCTGCGCTACCATGCCAGTGTTGGAGACCCTAGGGTAGTGCCGCCGGACGGCACGCCTGCTGTCTTTGTTGCATCCTGGACTGCGGGGGTCATCTCAAGTAAGGTGTGGACTTTGTTTCGGTAGTTGCTGGCAGGTAAGTCTGTAGTACCGGTAAGGTGAGGGAATCAAGCACAGAACGTTAATGACCCTGCTTGCTTCAACGTCAAGACGACTTTGGTCGTCTTTGCTTCTGTGCTGTCCTGCAGGGCCTCTTAAAAGGTGCCATCTACCATGCTCGCTCGCCTTTCCTCACTCCTTTGTTCATGAACCCGTCTAGCTGCACCTGCTGTGACCTGCAGCCCCACCCGTTCCTGCCCTGTTTGCGGCCACCTGCACAGCTTCCACCCATCACGTCCTGGATTTTGGCTTGGACCTTCACAGCCGGGGAGCGGATCGCCTCTCCAGCAGACGTGCTAAATGGCAGCAGGAGGGGTGTGTCCGTTGACGGCGGCGGGGCCCCCCCACGGGATGCTGGTAAAGCTGCAGTTGAAGGCGTGTCCATGCAGGTGCCCGGGATGAGAGTGAATACCGTATCCACATGGGAAATACACACATGAGCCTGACGGTGGATGCACGGCTGCCGTATGCAGAGGGCAGTACAGTAGCGCATGCGTGGGTTTGAGGCTGGGTGTACGGCATGCAACACGGCAGGAGGTAGTAAACCACTCTATCAATTGATCCCTCCCCTCGCCCTTCTTCAGAACCTGCCGCATGCGGCCAGCGCCGCTGGGGCATCGAAACAAACCGTTGCGGTCCTAGGTGGGCCCGCGCGCGTGTGTGTGCAGCAGCACGGAAGGCGCGACGAACCACCGTTGGGGGATGGAGGTGGATAGATATGCCATATGGGTCAAGTAAATGTCATCATGCAGCTAGTGCCATACGAGTAGTCGTCTCCAGCTTTGCTTTGGCTCCAACTACTGTAACTAACGCTACCAAGCAATGCTCCCCTACCGCACCCTATCCTACCCGGCTGCTGCCAGCCAATGCCCCCCTGCACTGGCTCCGGGGCTCTAACGGAGCCTACAAAAGCTTCACCATGGTCGGCCGCAGCGGCCCCGCCGCTACCCCCAGCAGCCGCCTCCCCTCTTCAACCGCTTCATCGGATCCCCTGGCCGGATCCCAACCCGATCCCCTGCTGGCAGCTTTCACCGGGCCGCCCTCTGCGCCGCTGCGGGTGGCGCTGCCCGAGAACGTGTTTTTCAACAACATGCAGTGCGAGTCACTGGCACATCTGCAACAGGTGCTTCAGGATGCGGCCCGTCCAAAGGTGTGTATAACAGGAAGAGTGTTGCCTGCGATTGTGGCATACGCGCGCGGCGTGCCGTAGGCATGTTTTGGGTGACAGATAGGCACGTTAAGCTAATGTGTCACGCGCATGGGAAGGGGATTAGCTGTCGCAAACTTGAGTGCACCACAAGGGCATCAAGGTTGGTATCTTACCACCGGAAATATGCCTCTTGAAGGTAGACGATTGGCATAGTGTTAGATGCTGCTTCGGAGTATTAACATTACACCTTTGCGGCGGTCACTGCCGCCGCCCACTTCATTTCCCACGCACAGGCCAGTCGGCCGGCAGACGAGCAACCCGCCGCGGCTCGGTCCTTCCTCTCATACCCGCTCCGTGCACCGGTCCTGCAGGTAAAACCCATAACAGGGGTTAGGCAGCATGCATGCGGGTCTTTGTCAAGGTGATGAGCGGTTGTCATGAACAGTGCTTGCGGTGCCCATGTTGTTTAATGTTTCCTTCCAAGCGTACCCTCCAGGCAGTCACCCTATTCTTCCCTGGGAACTGGCCATCCAGGTGGAATACATGCTTGTTGCCTACCTTCCTGAACCAGCCGCGGCTACGGACGGTACTGATGGTGACGACAATACTTTCAGCGTGCACAGGCTTCCCAGTAACTTCACACGGATGTTTCTCAGGTGGGCTTATTAGCGCGGCTGTTCCTGCAGACGCATTCACCTGCCGTACGGGGCTCGCACGCAGTACCGTACCCCAGATGTAAGCAAGCGCATGTTCTTATAATTTTGAGCACTTGCAACAGCCGGCATCCATCCTGCCCACAGGATATCGAGCATAGACAGCGGCAGAGCCATTCCTTTGGAGACCGTCAAGGTAGGAAAGCTCGCCAAAGGCTTGCTGTTTATTTGTTTGAACCTACAAGACGCCACCAGGGTATAACCCCTGGATTTACCTTGGCGACATGTTTTTTTATCAGTCTCCCAAATTACTCTTAATAAAACGTCATATGAAAGGTCGGGGCGCCAATCCTTACCTATCCTCGTTTTCCACATGCATCCCCAGGTTTTGTACTACTTACAAGGCCCCAACCCAATCAAAGACCCACGGGTCACCCCGGCTGTGGGCAGCACTGCAGGACCGGTTGACGCTTCCAACGGCAGCATGGTGGATGGCACCAGCGCGCCGCCAACCTTTACGCTGACCTGCAATGACGCCTCTGACAAACAATGTAAGCTGATGCAGCGGTTGGGAGAATGCTACCCTGTCCGAAAGTAGGGCTGTGGTGAAGGGGTCTCCGCTTCCTTCAAAGGGCCCAGGCTTAGACATTGAGAGCGGTGGTTGGTCCTGTTAGCTAGCAGTCCTTATGATTCCCGTATTTTAAACTTAGTCCTGCTGATCGATGGCCATGCTGCCCGCAGCAGTTAAGAGCACTGCATCCCTTGTATCGCGTTATTGACAAAGCTTCCTGCCCCATGCACACACATGCGGACAGTTGGCGGCTGCAGCTCCCTGCGTTGGGCCTTCACCCCCGGCCTCCCCGACGTGCAAGGCGCCCGATACGCCCTCATCCTGTCCTTCGCACCAGACTCCGGGGCGCTAATGCCGCAGCAGGGCCTTCAGGGTAGCAGCAACGCTTCCAGCAGTTTTCCTATCGCCGCAAGCGCTACCACCAAAGTTAACAGCAGCAGTGGCAGTGGCAGCATGGGCGACCCTCCTAGCAACACAGCTTCCCTGGTGCCTGCTGTGGAGGTCACCATTACCATTCGTACCGCCAACGATGCTCAGCCTCTGGACCCAAGGCAGGATTACAGGTACGGATGCCAGCCCCTGGATTTGGTTTCGGTAAGCTTGTATTGCACGTCCCTACTGTGCCTTTGTGATGCATGTATGCACCTTCAGTTGCGTGTATAGATCTCAGTTGAAGCGCTGATTTCCTGCTAGTTCGGACGATTTGAAGCAAGGCAACGTGGCAGCTCATGCACGTGCGGAAACAGTGTCCGGTCGCACCCCTCCTGCTGCTGGCAGTTTCTTGAACACTACGATGTCAAACACGACGAGGGTTGCACCGCTTGGCACAAGCCACGGAAGCGCGCAGCAGCCACAGCCCAACCTGAGGTACGAGCACCTAAGCTATACAAGGGCGGGCCCAAA